GCAATGGAAGACGGAAAAACAAATTAAGGCTCTGCGAATCTACACGTCGGAAACTTGATCAGCTTATTTTAAATGGATAAAACATATTCTTGCATGGGGGAAGCAATCCATATAAAGTGAGCAGATTTCCAGGAATGACCCAAAACGTGAGTTAATAAGACAATCAGACTAAACGTATCCGCGAGTCATTGACAGCCTACCTTCCAAGGGATGCCAATCTTCTCAAGGAAGAGGTCGTACAATTGTTGTCTGACGGCGTAGAGACTGACGAAACGCTCCGTGACTATGCCGCCCCGGGCACGGCGAACCCAGTGCCGATGCAGCTCATCGCCGGAGGTGGACTCCTTCATATTTCTACTTTGATAATGACTGCTACGATTGAAGAGCTGTCATCGGGTAATTGCAATTATTTATGTTAGATACAAGGCTAAGTAAACTAATCAACTAAACGCTCCAAAAATAATAATCTAAGCAACAAAAAATGTAGCAGGCCTTTGGGACGGGAATCGGATATATGGAAGACGAGAAGTAAGGGTAAGCTAACCTGTAATAAGAGTGGGAACCGCGTACAAGGTCGACCACGTAAAGGACGGTGGAGAGCGCACGACCGTAAGCGTTGGGAGAAACATCGGCGCGGTCCTTGAGGCCCATGGCAACATCCACCTTGGCACTGTCCTTACTGCCGAACCGAAAAACCGAAGAGCGTAGCAATCACTGCATGTGCACGACTGTGCTACTGAAATGGAAAAGTGGAGAGGTTCCATGTGCTCTACGGTTACGATTCTGGTAAAGGCAGTGTGGGCCTAAATTAGCAATGCAGAGAAGTGAAAATGGAAACATGTCTTCCCTACAGCTGTAGTGACCGTTTCATTTTTAGGTGTCACGGATGTGCTTCTTTAATTGAGTTGACATTAGCTTTCTCTCTATCATCCTCACACCTCTGCCTGATAGATGAAGCTACAGCGGGAAGTACTGACTGATACGGCCATTCATGTAGGCAGGTACGTAGACCGGTCGTGTCCGTGTTCCTCATACGCGCACCTTAGCGAATGACTAAGTTATTATACAACCACAGATATGCCTTTTTTAGCGACACAACAATGAAAGATGCTCGTTCTAGCAGTGACACAGCAATGCCTGTGGTGGTGGCAGTAGATGCTATACATAGTTTACAGTCCTAGCTGATGCAGTCAGTGTCCTAAAAGATGGGAGGAAAAGGACCAGCTATAAACAGAATTGCTTCTAGATGAATAGGTACTCAGATCTAGTCGTACTATCTCTAAAATTCAAATAGGTGCATTAGGCTACCACAAAATACGTTTGGCGTCACTGCATACCCTCCCTGTGGGCAAAAGATCAAAAGCACCTTTTTAACAAATAGGAGCATATTCCAACCTGG